TGTCAACTTGCCTGGGCATGGTGTTCAGATATGTGGCCATTCATTATTCTGGATGTTTTTGTGAGAGTACTTTGGTTGAAATTAACACTTAAATCGGTAGGCTTGAGTAAGGCAGATTGCCCTCCATAATGTGGGTGGATCTCATCCGATCAGTTGAAAGCCTGAAAAGAACAAAAGATGGACCTCTGAGAAGAGGAAATCCTTGAGCAGATAGTCTCCAGAATTTAACTGCAACATCAGCAGCCTTTCTGTGCATAGCCAGCCAGCTTGCTGGCTCACCCTGTAGACTTTGGATTTGCCAGCCTTCATAATCATGTGTTATTACTTTGTTAAATTAACGTTTGTTAAGCGAAGGCCCAGATTGCTGGATGGTGAGTCATGGTTCAACAAAGGACGGCAAGAGAAATTGAAATAAAGAGTTTTATTACTCACAGGTGCTGGAGGAAGTACACAGCATTCCTCGAAGTTCCACGTGGGAAGGTCAAGGGAGGGAGCAGGAGAGAAAGTGACGGGATCAGGGACACATGCTTTTATTAGGATCTGTGGGTGCGGTGCTTTGGGGGTTCTCCAGACTAAGGCAGGATTCAAATTCAAATTTAAAAGGCAGGGTTTTGGTAAGCTCCGTGAGGATTCTATCTAAGCAATACACACGGGGACATTGGGGATGCCTGGAAACGGTTTATTACAAGGGCCTTCGCGGAAGTCATATCAATAACTGACATCTACTCGTTACCTTAGGGGCTGTTATCTAGGACATGGGCTTCCATGAGGAGCAAGAGTCAGTTTAAGTCTCCCAGTGGCTCTTTAGCCAAATAAAATGGACACCAAGACAGCCATCTCATGGAGTGGTTTATTTATTCATTTATCTTTAATATTTATTTATTTTTGAGAGAGAGAGAGCAAAGGAGGGCCAGAAAGAGGAATACAGAGGATCTGAAGCAGGTTCTGTACTGATAGCATTGAGTCCCATGTGGGGCTTGAACTCATAAACTGTGAGATCATGATCTGAGCTGAAGTCAGACACTTAACCAACAGCCACCCAGGAGCCCCATACCATGGAGTAGGTTACATAAATCCTAAACATTCTGAGAGCCAATTCCTTAAAATAAATGTATATATATATCTATATATGCATATAGATAAGTAGATAGATAGATAGATAGATAAGAGAGAGAGAAATCACAGATCTCCTATTATCTCTCTAGAGAACCCTAACTAATTCTGTAGCTGTAGCTTTAAACATAATTTATTAAGAAGCATACATTCAGGGCTCTGTCCTTAAGCTCTTTATCCTGATCATTGATTTGATGGAATGATATGCTTTTAACACCCCTTTTGTAACTTCTATCATAACACCTGGTAAGACAGGTGTTATGATAGAAGTCTCACTCTTTGTGTCATTTTTTGATTGACTTAACAATTTGTAGAACTTTATTCCTCCATGTACATTTTAGGATAAATTTATCAAGTTTCTTTTTAGAAATCCAAATGTAATTTTGACCAGGGTTGCAGGGAAATTATAGGCAAATTCATTGCAACCAAGAGCACGAGTATCTGCATCTCTTTATTTTTAGCATCTTTATTTTTTAAACCTTCCTTGTTTCCAAGTAAATTTATCTCAAAGTGCTGCTTTGCTGCCACACAATTTTAAAAATCAAGTTTACTGAGATCTAATTTAAATTGCATCCAATATAGTCATTTTATGTGGACAGGTGGATGTTTTAACTTATGTATCTCACTGAGTAACCAACCAAGGCCCCATGTTCCCTCATGCCCCTTGTCAGTCAATCTTTTCTAACCCTTCACCAAAGGAACCCTTGATTTGCTTTCTAGTACTATAGATCAGTTTTGCCTTTTCCAGAACTTTATATAAATGGAAACATAAACTACTATTTTATGCCTGGTGTTCTTTACTCAGTATAATGTCATTGAGTTCCATCCTTGTTGTTGAGTATATCAATAGTTCATTCCTTGTTATTCCTGAGTATTATTCCATGGTATAGATACACCACAATTTGTTGAGCTGTTCACCCATTAATGAACATTTGACTTGTTTTCAATTTGGGGTTAATATGAATAAGTTTTCTGTGAATATTTGTGTACAAATATGTGTGTTGTCACACAAACTCTGAATTATAGTGTTCTTATATCGTTCATTACTAAATACTGTTTTCTTTATAATTTCCACTTTAACTTGAGAGTTACATAATTATATGTTACCTAGTTTCCAAAAATATAAGTTTTAGGCTTCCTTTTTGCTATTTTCTAATATTTCCAGCTCGTATCTATTCTGGGATCAGTTTTTATAACCCGTTGTCCTAGAAAACGAATCCATTACAACCAAGTTCACACATTTGTTTTCATGAAGTGATGGAGTGTATTCTCTGAGAGTCTTTTAATCCCCTTTCCTGTGGTTCTTTTCTCATTATTAGTTTATATAGTTTTAGTGTGATGTCTTCTTTTTTCACTTATTTAGATTAGCTGATAGTTTTGGTTTGCATTGCTTCTTTAAAAAAACAGATTTAGGTTTTTCATTTTTAACTAAACTTTTTATTTTCTCAATTAGTTTATGTTTTCTTCTTTCATACTTGTTCATACTTTCCTTTGATTTATTCTCCCCTCTTTGTTAGTTTATTTTCATTTCTATAACATATAAATGGCAAATAGTAGAATTTATACCTTTATAACATGGTTCTGATAGGTATGTTTTTTAATTTTCATTATTTCCTAAATAATTTTGGTTCTGCCATTTCAGTTTTGAATTCCTGTTTGACCCAAGAGTTACCTAAGAAAATTCCAGTGAGAAGAGCTTTTGTTGTTGATTCTTTTGTTCTAATATTTTTCCATTTATGACCAGGAGGTGATTTCTCTTCAGGTTGGACTTTGCTTAGTTTTCTCTGTGTCCTGATATGTGGTCTTTTTTTTTTTTTGTGAATGTTCCACAGACACGTAGGGGGAAAAGTATGGTCTTTGTTCATGGAACAAAGAATGAAATCTAGCAACTGGATTTTGGTTATTAATTTTGTTGTGTACGTATTTTACTGGTTTTATTACTTTGTATTCACTTAATCTGTCCTGGACTAAGAATGCATGCAAGTCATTTGCTGGAAAGTATTTTTGTTTTGTTTTGTTTTAAAATTTTTTAATGTTTTTATTTATTTTTGAGACAGACAGACAGAGCAGGAGTGGGGGAGGAGCAGAGAGAGAGGGAGACACAGAATCTGAAGCAGGTTCTAGGCTCCAAGCTGTCAGCACAGAGCCTGACATGGACCTCAAACCCACTAATCATGAGATCATGACCTGAGTGGTAGTCAGATGCTTAACTGACTGAGCCACCCAGTCAGTTTTGTTTTTTGGGGAAAGAGAGAGAATGTAAGTGGGGGAGAGGGCAGAGAGAGAGAATCTTAAGCAATCTCCACACAGTGGGGGGCCCGACGTGGGGCTCAATCCTATGGCCCTGGGATCATGACCTGAGCCAAAATTAAGAGTCAGATCCTAAACTGACTGAGCCACCAAGATGCCCTTATAAGGTATTTTTGCCTGTATTTTGTATTGAATTTTTTTTCTTTATGAATGTTGATACTATGTTCTTAGGCTTATGTATATTCAAAACTGTTAGAACCTTGCTCTGAATTGCACTCTTTATCATACTAAACTGTGATATATTATAAAGGGAACTAATAGATCAGGATTATTATAGTTCTCTTCCCCCCCCCCCCACAGCTCTTTCCTCTACTACCAATTTTGCTTTGTAATATTTAGTTTTACATTTAGAATATACTTTTACTTCTCTCATTTGGTTTCTCAGCTATACATGTTGTTTTGTCTCTTCACCTGAAAGATCAGGAAATCAGCACATCTACACGACTTCCTTCATGTGACACTGTCACGATCACGTTGACATCTTTTTCAGTTCCCTGGAAACACATTGGTATCAAGCTAAATGGAATCTACTGTGACTGGCAGGGCTTCTGCTGTGCTTTTGATTCTAGTTGCCAGCCCTCCCCCAACAGGTCTGAGCCTCAGAAGAGAGGAGGCCTTTGTCCCCATCCTGTGAGGACCACAGTGTACAGCTCCAGTGCCAGGAAGACTAAGAAGAATGCAGTCGATTTGGAGACTGGGGATCTGGGTTTCGAGCTGTAGGCAGGGGGCTTGGCCCAAAGCACAGAATCCAGGAGGCTGTGGAGGCCGCCGTGTCCAGCAGCAGAGAGAAGCCATAGCAGAGCAAACAGGAAGGACTTGTCTGTGAACACAGCCGATATGTCCCTGAAAACTCAAGGAAAACCTGGTCAGAGGTTTTTTAAAGAACATAAATCCTATAAGGAGATGGGTACACTGGATCATGAAAACTTGGGTTTAAGTGGTAACGTGCTCACATGTGACCTCCAGGCTAGACAGGCCTGGGAACATTTAGACTACATCTGAACTGAAGATGTGACTCAGGAAGAAAATACATTTTTGGGAGTAGATAAATAGTGAGGTTTGCTTAAACAGAAATGTGAGATAATAGATGTTTATATGAAGCTCTTACTCTAATAGATACAGATGTGTGCTTTTGTCTTTAAATAATAATCAGAGTTAGAACTGGAGATGGGAAGAAAATACTCCCTATTACAAGCACTAGCCTTCTCTGAATTGAATTTAAAATCATCTTGTCATTATTGCCTTTCTGTCCTCAACGATCATGCGTGTGCTTGAGTGTGTGTGCTCGTGTGTGCACTCACACACACACACACACACATGCACACACAGCCCTCTGGTGTTTGACTTCACCCCATTCCAACTGTCTAAATCCCCTCGCCTCTCTCCCTTGAGTCGTCAGGGGCACAAGGCCAGCAAAACAAAATCGCCTTGTCACAAGCCTTTCCTGCTGCCCTCATCCAGAGGCCACTTGTTCCTCCTTTGAATTCCCATGACATGTTATCTGTGTCTTTCACGGAGCTTATCTCTTTCTGGCTTGTATGATCATTGTTTACGTGTATTAGACATCACGGTCAAGAGGAAAAGAACAACTGCTGGCCGTAAGGTCAGACCTGTCTGAGGATGGATCCCAGCTCTGTCCCTCACGAGGTAGGTGGTCTTGGGAAGATACTGACGCTTGGAAGACTCATTTGGGGGGGGAGGGGCAAAATATAAAAATGGTCCTCTCTCAGAATTGTTTGGAAGATTGGAGATAGCATAGACAAAACACGGTGCTTGGCAAAACCCCAAGAGAAGTCAATCGTTGTTGTCATAATCGTTACTTGTGGTGTTATTTCTGTTATTTCTTACATCCCCTGCTCAAGTATTTATTTGTCCACTCATTCAATAGATATTTATTGAAGACAAAGTCTGTGTCAGGCACTGGGGGCCACATGGAGAAAAAGACAGAGGGCCTGAGGCATAAAGGCAGAAAATAAACAAGTATGCAAATAAGGACAGAGGTCATTGCTGAGGAGGACTGCACTGGGAAGACACTAAACGTGCAGTGGGCAGCAAGAGAGGCAGGGGCGAGGAGCCAAGGCCACCCTGGGCAGGGAGCATCTGTACTGAGTGGTCTCCTTGTAGAGGAGAGGAAAGCACCTACGAGAAGTTCTGAATCCAGGCTTTTTGGAAGATGTGATGGCCCTGCGCAGGGAAAGAGCTTACAGCACAGCAAGTGAAGGGAAGCATGCTAGAGGTCGGGTGGGAAGAGACAGGCAGGGACAGTCCCTCGGGGCCATGCTGGCCCCAAAAGAGTGCACGGATTTTATTCTCAGTGTGTTGGGAACTTTCTGGAAGACATGGTTCACTGGCTTGTACTCGGTGTTATATCTCCTGTTACGTAGCAGCCAGCACACAAAGTTTTATGAAAGGTAGAGGAAGGGAAGGGAGGAAGACAGAGGGAGAGCCAGAGGGAGGGAGAGAAGATCCTAGTTGACACCCACACAGATGAATCTGACGGCTCTCCCCCTTGGTGGGGGCCCAAGGACAGACCGAGGCCGGCCTTGGTGGGTGGAGAAAGCTCCCATCCTCCTGTGAGCATTTGTTGTCACACTGCTCTCGTTCCTCGGGTGGTCCCAGATGGCAGTGGGGGCTGGGGAGCTGGGAGGTCTTCGAGAAGAACAGGCTCCTGGCTGCCTCTGGCTTTCAGGTCACAGATAACAACTGTCAGATGGTCTCACTGTGAAGCAATAAGCTTCCCCAAAACAAAGAGGCCGGCCCAGCTCCAGAAGAGCCACAGTCTGGACAAAACACACAAGCCTGGAAAAAATTAAAAGTTCATGAGCGACTGAACAAAGCACCTCGGGGAGATGCAAGGGGTTAACCGTGAGTGAGCACACAATGTTCCCGAGCCCCTGAATGCGCGGCAGAAAAACAATCGCACATCCTTGGTAAAGGGGAAAAAGAAACCACGGGACAGACAAGTCAGCGATCCCATGTGAGAACTAAAAATAATGCCGTGCAAGGTTGGCTCAGCCCTAAAATGGAGGGAAAGACATGAAAGGCAGGAGAAGGGATGAAACAGGGTTAGAGAAAGTTGGCCTGAAGCAGGGTCTGCTCCCCACTGCCTGGCTCCTTTGTCTTCAGCAAAATGTTCTCTCCAGGGCAGCTAGGGAGCTGAACCTACCCTAGCCGGGTCCCCTGGCCACCTTCCTCTCTAAGAGCCCTGTCGTGGGGACAACCTGCTTTATAAACTAGGCAGAAACAACAGCCTCCTGTTACATATTTTTCTTCATTAATTTTGATCTTAAATATAAAAAGAGTTGAACTTAAGCCTGGCCAACCCCAGGGGCCAAAGTGTGCAGTGGCTATTTGCTAATAGACACACATCTCTAAAAAAGAACTGCAGTTAGAATGAAACAGCAGTGTTTGCACTAGCAAGACGTGTGAGAGGGTGAGACTTGGAAACCATATTTGAATCCAACGGAAAGGTTACCATGCCTGGCAGGGAGGAGGGTGTCCAGTCCCCACTCATGTCTGAAGGAGAGTAGCACACTAGTTGGAATGGAAGATAGGGAAGGTAGGTTAGGAAGGTAGGTTGTTTGTGATTCTTAATGCCCAGTTTCCTCATCGGTGCCAGTTTTGTCCTCAGAAACTGCAGGAGTGCATTATTTAGAAGTGGCACCATGATCACCAAATTCCACCTAGGGGGCCCTGCCATAAACTTTCTTTGGAGCCTGGGCCTTTTTCGCCAGAAATACAGAATGAAGACCAAGCAAGGGAGACTTCTTGTGTCTAAGGCCTTTTAAACTTTACAGATATAAACAGATAGATCAAACTGTTTTGGCACAAAGGAAAAGTTATTGTCCAAAAGTTGTAGAAATGTTGAGACTCAAAATTACAGAGTCTACACGTATGGGTTACCAGCTACAGGTGAAGCACTACTTCAAATGCACTGGAAATGTCAGGAGTATCTTTAAGGCTTGCCAAACCTCTGCAGGGTAAAGAGCATCATCCCCACATTACAAATGGGAAAACTATAACTCTGAGAAGTTAAGGGATCTTCCCATGGTCTCACAGCTAGTAAACAGGATTTCCTGGCTGGCCTAGGACTGTCTAATTCCCTTTTCTAAAATAAAAATGTATCTCTCCATGACCACCAAAGGAAAAATTAAATGGCAGATTTTGACTGCATGGTCATCTTTGTTGAAAATCTTTGATCATTGGTTTTGTTTTCACTGGGGCCCAACATTTTTATGGAACTTGTTCAGTGAGCATCGTCTTCATACTTGAAATACTATAGTGTGGTTTCCTAGAGGAGCTATTGGGAGTTGGTAATTTCCAAAGAGAAATGCTCTTTTTAAATTTTTTGGCTGAGGGTTTCTTTGTGTCATGAAGATCAACTCCATTGCTGGGGCACGGAAGAGTAAAAATAGATTTCCCGTTAGTAGCAACAAGTAGGAATTGTTTGTCTGCCAGAAGGAAATTCTTTCATTCTTTTCCTGCTTCAGTTCTTTCTCTGCCAACAAGTAAACAAAGTTCATTGTTGAGTGAGTCAGAGCCAACTTCACGAATGGGTGGTGTAGGTGGTCACCTACCAAAATGACCTCAGAGATATGAAGACAAGGGGGTTGAACCCAGGAAAGACATGAGAGCACCAGCCAGGCAAGGACCCTCCTTTCACGCCAAAAACAAGGGAGAGAAAAAATTTAACTTTGGAGAACTTACCCAGAATTAAAATTATTCAGAAAAATCTCAAAATGAAGGTTACCATGAATATGGCAAAGAGGTATGTATTATGTCATTGTCAAAGTAAAGTTTTATTTTAATTACATGTAAGAGAAGGGGATCACCTCATCATATTCCTTTCCGAAGCTCAGTGCCTATAAAATATGAAATCTGCTTCAACTAAGCTAAACACCCCCTATTAAACATGCCCCCACATGGTTACCTAAAACCCCACCATAAGCAATTAATTCCTGTTTGCCAAAGTGTTCTTTTCCTTCTGGATATGTTTTCTTTTTTGAGCCAAATGCCCTGAGAGCTAATACGTTAATTTCATATACCTCTGAAAAACATTGTTTATCAGATGTGTTTTTTCCACTCCAGAAGAACCCTGGTCCCCAAGAAAACATTTGGCAAAGGGGTCAGGGGTACCCAACCTCAATCAATGTGTAGAGTTGAGGAGAAAAAGCACTAGGGGAAAATTTTGCTGATATTTTTTCCAGTCCCTAATTCTATACAAATTGCTAGGGCATCCTACCAATTGTGAAATTCTGTGATTCAAGAAACCATCTCTTTGAATCTTTGGTGAATCCAGTGGAAATCACAGTCCCTTCTCCCCAGGGGGAGACATCCCCCGGAAAAATACGCATCAGATTTTAGTGTTGACAAGTTCCTGAACCCCAGGTTACAATTAGGTAATCCTCATATTTTATAAACAAAGAAGTGGAGGGCCAGAGAGAAGCGCTTTGCCCAAAGTCACATAGGTAGTAGCAAGGCAAAGAAGATTTGAGGTATTCACATAACCATTGCAAGAAATCTCCCTCTCCAACTCCCACCCCCATCAGATTCCCATCTGTCAAACATTTCAGCAAACACAAATAGTAGGGTGACTCTGTTCAGGAAGAAGTTTGTTTAGCTCAGCTCAACTCATTTTATTTTTCAACAGATGAAGTAAACCAGATTCAGAAGTCTACATTTTTTTTTTTTTTTTCACATATGGGTCAGGGGACCCTGCTAACTGGAATAGTTGCTGTGTGACAAAGGTGAGAGAGGGATGTAAAATTAAATGAATAATTTGAATTTAACCCAGAAACATGCTGCTGATATAAAAAATAAGTTGGCTGTTTTAGAGCCTCATTAACATATCCTCCTTGAACTGTGTTTGTGTGTGTGTGTGTGTGTGTGTGTGTGTCTGTGTGTGGGGTGTGTGCTCCCGTGTGTGAGTGGTGTGGTATGCATGTGTGTGTGCATTTGGCTGCCATCTTCTGTGAGAAGAAAATTAGAAGCTGCACTTAACCTGGTGAGGAAAATCACTTAATTAAGAATCGAATTTCAAGAAGCCGAGTAACACTTTCATCCTGACTTAACCAGAAACCCTCAAAAGCACTAGAGAAAGTTGGGTGGGATGGAGGAGGGGGTATAGGTTGTATCTGGAGAATTGAAACTGTAAATCAAGAACTTTCCATATGGCATTTTCTGACAACCTAGGGTCATAAATGTATATCAGGATTTCAAAGAATGTGGATTTTTATTGTTGTTTCCATGGCTTTCAATTATTGAAACTCTAAAACAAAGCTCTGATGTTAACTGGGCTCAGCTGGGATTCTCACACTACCCTTACCCACTGAGTGACCTTAGGCAAGTTCTTTTCTAGACCTTTGATTTTTTTTCCTCTGTAAAATGGTGTTTTATATAATATCTACAAACCTTTGGGATGAAGGGTTACATGGGCATGTGAGCTGATCCATGACCAGCCTCAGGCATGTAGCAAAAATGCTCAGTAAAGATGAGTTGAGGGTGTTACTTGGGTTTTCACTATATTTGATCCAGGAGAAACTGTGAATTGATGGTCTGGTGTCTGGGGACCTTAGTTTCTTGACATTAGCTGAGTATAAGGAGTTGTTCCTGATGACAGATAAAGGACTCTGTCCACATCAACTCTTTGTGATTCTATGATGCATTCTGGTCTCTTCGAAGGTTGGCTATCAGAGGCCTTCCCCACCTCCCTACTCTGACTCTCTTCATGAAAGCTTTCTGGTCCTCACCACTGCCCCATTTCAGTGATTACCTGTCTCCCACTCTCCACCTTCTTGGCTGTCCAGGTCAACATCAGCAACCACCTAGGACATGACTTCTCATATCTGTGCACCAGCTTCACACACTGCATACCAGGCCCCTGAAAGAACCCCAGACACATGCTTGGGGGGGCAGTTAAGGAATCCATTTAATCAACTGATATAAATTCAATTTATTTTATTTTACTTTAGAGAGAGAGCACATGAGCAGGGGAGAGGGGCACAGAGAGAGAGAGAGAGAGAGAGAGAGAGAGAGAGAGAGAATCTCAAGCAGGCTCCATGCTCAGTGTGAAGCCAGTCATGGAACTCCATCTCATGACCCTAGGATCATGACCTCAGCTGAAATTAAGAGTGGGATGAGCCTGACTGAGCCACCCAGGCACCCTCTTAATTCAATTTTAAAATAAAGTCACATTCAGTGAGGATAGGACTGAAATACAGTTTCTTTGTAGAGAAAACAAGTGATCCAGATTTGAGAGTACCTTCAGTGAGAGCTCCAAGAGGACAAGAGCTGTGTTTTCCTGAGGGTATCTGTTATACATAGCATATAATAGTTCCTCAATAATATTGTTGGTGAATAAGTATTTGGAGTCTATAATAATAAAAAAATGTACCAAGGAATTGTCTATCTAGCCAATGACTCACTTTATGACAATGGTTCTTTTTTAATCCAGCAATTCTCAAATATTTTATTTTTGTCTCATAGGTTACCAGGTATTATCTTTCTGACTGGAATTCATGCTTTTGGCCTTGGTTTCCATTCTCAGCATGACAGCTAATGACAAGTTAGAAAAGGAGATTGGAAAAGGATACCTGTTTATCATCTCTGATAGGTTGAGGTCCTGCCGTTCTAGATAGCACAATCTATTTTTAGTTCCACCTTGAGGAAATCCCTCCCCTCTTGGAAAAGGACAAATGTTAATTTGTTTCTACCTGGGCGGGGGTGGAGGGGCATTGGCTCTTAATCTAGAAACACTGGGACATCAAGAAAAAGGTATCAACCTAGATTTACTCTAATTCTGCTGTACATGCCTAACTGTAAGTATTTCAGTGTTTGTAAGTGACATTTAAAGAAGTTCTTTTGGTACTTCAGTGATCAGCTGTAGAAGAACTAATAAACTCTGATAATATGATCATAAACTCTGTCCAACAGTAATATAATGGTGGCCTTAGAGCTTCTTGACACTTTTTTAAAAATGTTGTTTATTTACTTCTGAGGGAGAGAGACAGCATGAGCAGGGGAGGGTCAGAGATAGAGGGAGACACAATCTGAAACAGGCTCTAGGCTCTGAGCTAGCTGTCAGCACAGAGCCCGATGCTGGGCTCGAACCCACAAACCATGAGATCATGACCTGAGCCAAAGTCGGACGCTTAACCGACTGAGACACCCAGACGCCCCTCTTGACAATTTTCAGCACACTGGGGAGAATTTCAGAAGCCCAGGGCACAAAATTTTGCCTCATCCCAAATATAACTCTTGAAAAACATCAGTCACAGGGATCAGCAAACATTTTCTATATAGGCCAGATAATATTTTATTTGGGGGCCATTTGGCCTTTGTCCCAAATACTCAACTCTGCTGTTACAGTGTTATAGGCATTAAATAAATGAATGAGCAAAAGCACATTCCAATAAAACTTTATTTACAAAAACAGGCAGCTGGCTGGATTTGGCTCACAGGCCATAATTGTCTGACCTCTGACTGATTGATCATGGCATGGTGTGATGTATGTATGGTAATATTGACATGTGGGATTCTCTGAGGTTCTCACCCAACCCCCTTTTGTGCTTTTTTAAAATAATATTTTGCTTTGTTTCACATTATGAGAATAAGACATGATCATTATAAACACAGAAAACTAGAAAAACTAAAATTAAAATAATCTATAATGCCATCAGACATACCACTTCTTAATATTTGGGGATATTTTGGTTTTTGTGATTTTGACTTAAGGAATCAAGATAATGATGAATAGCACTGTAAGTACAAATTTACCTAATTCCTTTATTTTTATGCTATTCCCTATGTAAGTTGAGACTAATTTCTACTTTATAGACTGCTATTTTTTCCCCCAGAAGCAGTGAGGATCTCCAACAATATCATTCCTTCTCTCACATTTACAACTAAGAGCATGATGCTTGAGATTTGGGGCAATATTCATGTAGAACAGAGAGGAAAGGTTAATGCTTAGCAAGCACCATCAACACATTCCTTTAAGGTCGGGGTGTAAAATAATCTTGGAGAAATGTGTGTTTTGGGGAAACAACTGATTACTAGTACAGTGTCATGAGGTCTTCGTTAAAATCTACTTGGTGAAATGTCTTCAGGAAACTCTGTGTAGTTTGTGTGTAGCCCACGCTTTGAGAGGCACTGTGGATTGGTGGGGTTCAGGACATGCTACCCCAAAATGCAGCACCTTGGCACATAAAATATTTTAAACGGAAAGAGTTTTAAGAAAACAGCAGAAGCAGGAAGATCATTCTGACCTTCTTCCCTGGAACAGGTCACAACACACTCATGTGAGTGGTACCTGCCTTATACCCATAGCAAAAGAGCACTCTTATCTCCAAAGACAAAGGGGTGTCTCAAAGGAATCCAAACAAGCAGGCCCTGCTGTCTCCCTATTTACTACCATAACCTTATATGCATTAAACTTTTACCTTCTTCCACAATTGCCTGCTTTCCATCAAACCAAGCCTAAACCTCCCCATCAAGCTGTTTCTTTGGGTCTCTGTTTCCTTATGGAAAGCTCCCATATTATTCAAAGCTTATATTGAATAAATCTGTGTGTTCTCCCCCTGTGACTCTGTCTTTGTAAGTTTAATTTTCAGACTGAGCCAGGAAACTTATGAGTTGAGAAAAACTCTTTCCTCCCCTGCAGGGAAGAGCAGAGAGGGAATTCTTGTACCGGAGGAGTTTCCCCATTCTTTCACTTCAGGTGAGGCCTTTTCTTCAATTCAGTTGAGACTCAGGCATCCACCTGCTCGTGTTTTTCTTCTGGCCTTTCTTAGTCATTTATCTGATCATGGATATCTCTACAGAGAATCTAAGAAGTTCGGATTTACCTCTATTTACAGAGGTAGTATGATGTAAAACCCAATGCCTAAAAACACAGTGGTTTGGATTTTATGTGGCTTTCACATTTCACCTGCTGCCAATGTTCATTCCTAAAATAAAGCCAAATATTTCTATTTTGCTGCTTCTGAGAAGGGGCATACTTATTGAGAAAAACAAGAGGGAATTGGAAAAAAGATTTTTGACACATATAAACGAAGGCAGACACAAAGAGAAAGAATGGAAACAAACCTAATAAGGCCCTGTTACTTTGTAGGTTGGAAGTTGTTAAGTGGAACAGAGCTTCACTTCGGGCTCCTGTGAGATCATACTTGCTCAGCAAATTTGTAACACAAGGCAGCTGGAGTGATAAACGTTTTTCGTGTACAGAACTTAAGTTTCGTTTAAGTACTTAGAAACCAGAGACTTGCAGCGGTGTCATGAGAATACAGACAGTCAAGTCGTCCTCACTGAAGGGACTGAGGCATCCTAGTCAGTGACACAGACACGCCCCTTCTTGCCTCTGCTTGCACATCTGGGGAACAGGAAAAAGGATAGTACCTACCTCTGGGTTGCTGAAGGATGAGGGGAGACAATTGATGTAAATTCCTGCTAGCTAACCTAGAATGAATGCAGAGTAATGTCGCTATTGCTTAAACAGAATCAGAGAGATAATCCCAAATTCCCAATGATTAATTCTTAAAGTCCTTTCATCGACCTTTTACTTGCTCTGGTTTGCTTCTGTATATGTGTAAAAGGCAATAAGAAAATCATGCTATAAATTACACCGTCAATTCATTCCAACTAGACTTCCCTCAAATTACTCCTAAATAGTGATGTTTATGTATAATTTCAATAGGGGCTAGAGTGATGTTTGGTGTGTAATACCACCGGGAGGAAAAAATCAGTTCCTGTCATTGTTTTTCTTTTGAAAATGGACAAAGTTAATGTAAAGCAAAGAGGAACTAATGACTTCAAGCATTTATTCAATCATGTTCTGCACTGCTTTTTAACAATGAGGATACCATTTACAATGCTAGGCAGAGGGCAGATCCTGCTAGCCTGCCGCACAAAATAAGAAAACTCAGGCTTTTTACTCTCAGTGGAGGATCAGGCTCATTAAAAAAATTTTCTAGAAATTTTCTTAATCTCCAATCTGTTTCCACAATGTTCAATAATTTGAGTCTGCCTTAACTATGTAAGACACACCAAGCAACTATTTAAATTGCTTAAGTTAGGGACACCTGGGTGGCTCAGTTTGTTAAGTACCCAACTTCAGTTCAGGTCATGACCTCACAGTTCCTGCACTGGAGCCCTGTGTTGGGCTCTGTACTGACAACTCAGAGCCCACAGCCTGCCTTGGATTCTGTGTCTCCCTCTGTCTCTGCCTCTCTCCTGCTCACACTCTGTCTCTCTTTCTCTCTCTCAAAAAATAAACATTAAAAAAATAAATTGCTTAAGCAAGAAAGCTCAATTTGAGAGAAGGTGGGGAGTTGGTTGTTTCTATTTTGGCAACATGCTTTCTTATTTGCAAAAATCATTGTTCTATCCTTTCTCGTGGTGAAGCAATCCAAAAGGTTCCACTTGCACAGAAATCAGGATTTCTTAAACTCACCCACCGTGAGTCACCTGTTTAAACACACGTTCCTACACAGCTCCAGGGAATCAGCATTTCTAAGTGACTCTAGTAATCAGACAATTTCCCTGTACTAGTGTCCTATTCAGCGTAAAAAGTGGCGGCAGTGGCCACGGCTGATGCCCAGACCCCATTCCAAAGTGAATCAGCCATCTCTAGAGCCGGCCTGGCGATGGATGTTTCTTAAAAGCTATCCAGATGATGGCAATGTGTCACCAGTGCATCTCTGGTCCCGTCCCCATAACCCCTCAATGGCAATCTGCATTTGAACAACTTCTTGGGGATCCATGTGCATACTGAAAGTTTCAATAAGGCCGTTCCAGTGACTATCAACAGAACATGTATCTTTCCATCCTGAGGAGAATGGATTTTTGCTCCCCTCTCCCTCTTCCCATTTTACCACCACCACCAAAAGCAGCTTAAAATCTTTCCAGAGGTCTTTTTCTTTATGCTCTTGGCCACTGAAAGCCAACTGATGAGGGGCGATGTGAAGCAAACCTATCTTTTCCAAAATCATTTATTGAAGTATGTTAAATAGTATATATTGCTCTCACCCAAACGCCCCAGTGACTCTTTCAATTGGCAGTTTCAGTTTCACATCCCATAGCCAAAAACATTAAGGATCACTAGCATTCACATCCGTGAATTCATTTAGACAATTTTCTTTAATTAACGATGAAGACACTACAGTTCTAAGTACCAGACAGAATCGGGGTGGGGGAGGGGGAACTGAAAGTAAGCATAACACTATAAAGAAAACTTGGAAAAGTGAAACACTTCTAAAGAAAAATATATACCTGGACTGGTACCCATTACATATATACATAATACATATGTTATACACATATATACAGTAAATGTTTTGGTAGCAATACAGACCATGCATTGGTCCTTTTGTACACGGATGAAGTAGCACCATGGACAGCACCACCATCTTAAGATGATAAACCAAACTGCACATACATTAAATGAAAAAAATATATATATGTATTTAATTTGGCCCACCCTGCAGCCAAGAGGTGTAAGGAAAGAACTTTGTAAGAAAAATTGTCCTGGGAACTACATTCTTAAGCCAAAGAGCAAAGTTGTAAGACAAACAAACAAAACCAAACAAAAACAACACAAAAACAGCACTCAAGAGGTCTCTACAAATACAGACAAGTTTTCCTGTTTACGGAATTTGTCCTATCATGTGGCAGATTGGTTCACACCAGGGAAATTAACACCATAAGGAAGGAGAGATTTAAATGCCAGGTGAATGGCAAGGGTTGAAAACACCAGAGTTCTTGGTGTATACATTACAAATGCCAAGTCATCAACAATGAAAGGGAGACAACTCTCCAGCTGAGTCATGTTTTCTAATCTTATTAGTTAATTATAAGCTCTCCATTACTGATAAATTCCTTAAGAATGGGGTCAAACACCTTCACTATCTTTCTACCTCTTCACCACATCTAACTGGATGCTCTGGTTACAAGCAGTAGAAACCCTACATGCCATCCAACCCATGCTTTCCCTACCCAGGCTTAGGAGAGACGTACACACAGAGCTATGGTAGGTAGGGCCTCCAAGATCTTCTCTGACTTGGCTTTGGACATGATAAAAGGCACCAGTGTCTCACCCTCGATGTTCCCACTACAAGAAGGCATTTTGCTTTCCAGAGTAGAAGTCTTTCTCTTAGTATCAGTGAGGCCAGATTTCCTCACATCCCAAGAAATGCATGCTTCTTCCTCTCAAGTTTTTCAGCAGCCTTTATGAACACAGCATTACCTCCATGATTACGATGTCCTAGGAACACTAATTCCCCTGTCAAGTCACTGCAAAGCAGCGATTTCATATTTGGCTTCCATTCATTCTCCGTATGCCTTCCAAGAGGTCCCCCTGTCTCTCCCCAGTCAAGGTCTTACTTCCCACAGTGTTTCTCTTTCATTTCAGCACCTCTTTGTGTGATGGGCTGACCCACAGACTTCTGTCAAAACACTCAGAGCACTTCATATCTCTCCCATTTTTCATGGCTCTACTGTCAGTCAACAAGAGCTCCCCTCCCATTTTTAAACCACCTGCAGTAAACAAAATTAAAGTTTTCAATTACATGGTGTATTGCATTCAGGATGCGAGATTGAACAAAATGGGTTTCAGTGTGGTAAAATACTGTTTCTTACAGGAGAATAAAACTGTTCCTTAATACTTTAAGTGTCCCAAAAATTAAAAGCTAGGAGACAATGGAGAAAAAAAAGCTTAAAAATCTCTACTTTTCGCTAGATGGTTTTCAGTAAACCCATTTTTGCAGTCAACCTAGATTAGTTGAGAAAGTCCCTGACCTTTGAAAGTTAGCAAGAAATAGCCACAAATGTAACATCAGTACTGAATTGTCATTATTGACCCAGGTGGTTGATCATTAATGGATTCTCTTCACTTCTAGCTGGCTCTAAAACCTTTCTTTTTTTTTTTTTTTTTTTTTACCAGAATGAAGATATCCTCAAAGTCATGAAATATATTTGTTCTTTCTACAAAGGAGAATTTTAAAACTCTGCCTAGGTCTCTAAGAAAGAACACTATAAAAGGTTGGTATCATGAGGAAAAAACCACTAACTTATAGGTTAACCAGAGGCCACTAGAAGCCCCATTAATGTAATTCCTTGGCTGGCCTGCAAATACTTGGAAATGGATAAAAGCCAGCTCTCAATAGGAACTGAACACAGGGATTTAGCAGCTGATGTTGCTCAAGGTCACCCCCTCTGTAGTCAGAGCATGAGTTTTTGCCTTAAATACCAGCACTTCCAGTTTTAAATTGGTGAGCTTGGATACTACCACCAAATCCAGCTCAGGGACCCCTTGAAGCAGCTTATATAAGATTTTCTAACTTTATGCTATGTGACTCAACAAAGCATCAGAGAAATTAACCAAGAGATGGCTTCTCCAGTCTGTTGATTTCTGTTCTCACCCAAAAGATGTTGATACTCCACATGCAGAGGTATCTTGGCAATACATAGTCAAAGTTTAGTTTCCTTGAGAAATAATAACCAGCTTCACAGGAAAGTGGTTGGGGTTAACTTTGTTCACTGATTTCTCTTTAACTCCCTATGTCCCCAGTGGAAGAGAGCAGGACAGCTTACTTTCTTCCTACACTAGCAAGAGTATGAGTCAGAATACTCGAAACGTGTAAGTTAGTTTGACCAAGAAAGTCTTTTTTTATAAAAGTGTAAAAAAATTCGTATCAGATTTTTAAAATCGGTAGTGTTCTCTCCTCATAGGAAATGATGTAATTCAGCAAGTTCCTTGAAAACAATGGATTCTTACGACCACAGACCTATTCATCTTAGAAATTGATGAGCATGCAAATGATTGGAATCTGCAACAATGAACATTGTACAACAATCTGTGAGGTACATGCCATCCGGCTGAATTAATAGTAACGCAGGCCTCAGCAGTGTGAGGAATTCAATTTATCTCCACTCCCTTTGGAGTGGTCCCCCGACTAGTTGACAAGGGGCAGCAGCCACTGCAATGGCCCCCAACCCTGGGCCCTACCAGTGGCCTTCCTCCACCCAGGAAGCTCATCCCATCGGAGAAATAAAACGTTGCTCCTCTCAACAGCAGGGCTGGGAGTATCTGACAGAGAGCTTACGTGAACTCCGAGGAGCTGTCATTGGCATTGACTCGCTTAATCTTTGGGAAGTTCCCTGGTAAAACAGATTTAAAACACTGTAGGCAATAGCTCGAAGGACACCCACTGCCTTTTCGTTTTCATAAGAAAAATTCCAAGATGTGTGTACTTTCCAAATAAGAGGAGGATTAACCTCTTCACTGCTGGCTGCATGCTTCAGTAGCTGGTCATTATGCATTGACATGCTCTCTGTACACAGGGTTATATTAACTAATCACTAAAAGGCCAGTACCCACCAGGGCAAATGGGCCAAATTACATTCAGTTAAATAATGTGGCATGGGATGTTCTCAGAAAACCTGAGATAAGGGTCTTATGGAAAGTGACATGTAGCCCTGGTCATGATAAAAAAAAAAAAATTCCTGGAGTTTTAATTTCTGGTTAGAAATGAAAGACAAGTACTCACTTGTCTTACCAACTTTCTTGAGACAATGCAGGAAATAAAAGATCCTAATGTGTGCACGGAAAAAAAAAAGGTAGCAATGGAGCAGGAAGCTTACAGAAGTGGGGGGAGGGGGAGAAGAAAAGATTAACAGTCTCTAGTTTATTATGAATAGAAAGAAATTTCCAGAATTTACAAACACCCACATTGTTCATTCCAAAGAGAGCTTTTGATTTAAAGGGATCACCCAAGTCTCCTCCTCTTTACAGTATATACAATGGAAGTCTTTCATTTCTTTTTCTTGTGATTTTACTTCCATTCAGTTGCCAATTTTAAGCTGACGCTTGAAAATACCCAGTAGAATATATCCTTCTTCAGTTTAATTAACATGGCCTATTGCCTTACAGGAAAAATACAAAATTAAGATCAATTCTTGTAAGGATCTCAGCTCAACATCAGGGCTATATTACAAGAGATAGTATCAGCAAATATAACTATACAATTGAGAACCATCTAATGGCACTATGATTCTTATTATATTATTTTTCTGAATTACAATCTTAAAACAAGGATCGTACCCTACTCTACTCTTGTTAGCCTTGTTTTAAGTATTTGCTCCACTCTTTACAACAGAACATTGTATACCTCAGTTCCACATCCAAAAAAAAGATGTGCTGTAAGAAAAGTTACATTTTAATTAAAAAAATTACACATATAAATCAAAACCTATGTTAAATATTTAATACTCTCTCCACCCAATGCGAACAGTTCTGTATGAAATAATTTACAACGATGCTTTGTCGTACACAGTTTCAGCAGCAGATGAAATGTATCTCGTAAATGCAATGAGAGCGAACCCATTCTCTCGTGGCATAGAGGCGGCCACATCAGCTCACGTGGCCAGCTAAGTCCTTAAGGTTGAAGATGAAGTTTATGCAGACTCATTACTCTGGTGTCACAGTGCTTTTTTGCTTGGCACAATATAGTACGTGCAGTTCAGTCAAGGAACTCCTGAGGATTGTAGAAAGTAAACAAACTGAAATGGATGCATCGTACCATCTACTGAGGAGGAAGATGTGAGGTCCTGGTTGTGAATCATGAAATATTCAGAGTCTGGGTACCCATGAGTTAAGGGAGGGTTTGCTGAGGTCATTCAGGTCTTCATTCTGAAAAGGAAAATAAAAAGATTCGTCAGCAAAGGCATCTCAAAACGCAGAGTCCATCATTTTCTAAGGGTTTTTCTTTAAAAAGGAGGTGGGATTAGATAATCCGAAGCCAGAGGCACAAACAGTACTGTGTACTTAAATAAAATCAACAAACGGTATTTAACTTTTTTTTCCCTTTCAAAATGCAAGAGTCTAAAGCAAATACAAACTCAAAACAGTCAATATTAAGTCAGTAAACAAATCGATGTGATTTGGAGGTTTTGGAGTTTAACAACACAAAAACACAAAATACTTTGACGTTCTTAGGATCAAAACAAAAATATGAATTACAGTTATTGTGTAAAACTACTATAAAATGCAGTAGGCAGGTTCCGGCCAGGCCACGCTTCATCTTCTTTGGGTTAAGTGTCAAGTGTAGATTTTAGAATTTGAAGCTGGAGGGCCTAACGTTACAAAATCTGAAGTCAGCTTTTAATGTGACATTGTTTGACATGAGATGAGAATTTTCGATGCAAAAGGAGACCCAAGTGAAATGGACCTAGTTAATCATTAAATTAAAAAGGAAAGGCATTCTGAGTTAGATCTAATAGAAATGTTATTCTGCAAGAAGCCGAATTTTTCCATGCAATTCGAGAAGGCAGACCTCGTGGGGCTTTACCCCTTCCCTTCCAGAGAGGAGACACCTTTTTCAACCCTATGAACCCTTCTTTGCCCTCAAGTTTTAGCATTAGACAGTCCTTCTGAGGTCCACATTCTTTATGCATTCAAAAGTTATCTATAAATACCAATATTTATAGAATGTCCTCAATAGTATATGGCCCAGAATAGATAATAAATACTGCTGAATGAGTAATTGGTTGCATTAAATACCACAGGGGATATAAAGTTGAATTGTGTTACAAGCCCTGCTTTCTAGAAATTCTAGAAAGAAGTAAGCTCTGCTCATAAATAGAATGCACAAGAGGAAGGGGGTAAATTCCATGGTAGAGGCACAGGAGAAAAGCTCTTGCTGCATGGCAAGAATACTTCTATCTGGGAACAGAAAGGAAGGACTTCACAGACACATTTGGCTTGGTCTGGAAGGAAGGGGACAGTGGGGAGATGAGGAAACAGAATCGTATCCATGTTGCTTCTGGGTTGCATCTGCAGACCTGAACACAAGGGCTGGCACACAGTAGGTGCTCACTAAACATGAGTGGAATGGATCAAAGGGCAAAAGGGCAGTTCCCACTGTGAGTACATGATAAAACAAGGCTTGGGGAAGAGAGCGTGGCCGCGGGCAGGCCAAGTGAAGGATGTGGTTGTGTTGGATCACAAGGTATGTGGAAAGGGGTCAACCTACAAATGTAGGTTGGGGAGACGAAGAACCCTGAAAGAAACTCCAAGACATCTTTAAGTACAGCGATAAGGACATGTTTCATGATATGCCAAGATGAAGTAGTAATAATAATCCATATCCGTGCCAAGGAAAGGAACAGGTTCTAAAATTCATGCCGTGTATATGTTGACAGATAGAAGTGGTTTTTTTTTGCTCTCTTCTCTCGAAGGAGAGTATGGCTGGGACCTGTCAGCATTCACTATTTACATAATGGCTTTCAGGTAGTTGAAATTTACTAAATGGAGACTCTAGCTTTACGAGATTTCTGTTTATTTCAAAATAGTAACCCCACTCTTAAATGACAGGTAAACAATCTATTTTTCTAAAAATTTTTTAATGTTTTACCTATTTCTGAGAGATAGAGCGTGAGCAGGGGAAGGTCAGAGAGAGAGGGAGACACAGAATCCGAAACAGGCTCCAGGCTCTGAGCTATCAGCACAGAGCCGGATGCAGGGCTTAAACCCACAAACCGTGAGATCATGACCTGAGCTGAAGTTGGACGCTTAACCAACTGAGCCACCCAGGCGCCCCTATTTTTCTATATACAAGTAAAGACATGACGCGGAGACACCAATGTAAAAACAAGAGAGCACGCCGAGCTTATCCCTTCCAAGACCAGAGAAACAGGACTTACTCTGTGTGGTTCCTTTACGTGTAAGGAAAACCCATCCCTTCAAATACCCCAGTGAAACATCTCCAGATCTCCTATTGACTTTCACGTTTTTCCTGAACTCACACTGCAATCTATCAGAATGTTCCGACAAGAGAATCTAGACACAGCTTCACAGCTCTGGGCCTAAAATGAAGGGGGAAGGCCTTGCTTTATTAAAGGGCTTGAGGCAAACAAACAAACTGCTCATTTACAAAAATGGGAGGGGGGCGTGTGCGTGGTGGGACTGCGAAGGGCACACGGTATGCTTTTCATTTTATACCTGGCTCTCAGCCAGAATGGCTGAATGAA